CACCTATACTAAACTGCAAATAACAGTCCAATAACATCTGGATTTTGTTGACTTGTACTTTTTTGCAGTTGTCCTTTAAGTGGTGAAAAATGCAATAAATTACCTCATCCCCACCCCTCTCACATACTCTCGTAAGTGCCCAGCAAGGTCAGAATAGATTTTTCATGTTTCTTTGCTCTGAAAATTTTAATAGTTTCTATACAGTAAGCAGGTAACAATCTCATACTAATGCTAAAGAAATAACCAAAGAATTGTGTGGCTTTCAAAATCTCATTTCCCTAATGGCAAGAGTATCAAAAGACATTGCTTTCTTCATCATAAACACACTTTACCAAAAACTTATTTTAAAGTATGAGTCATCCTAGGAATATATTTTGAGAATTCTATTTATCAGTAAGTGCAACAGCAAAGAGGAGTTTTTTCTACCTTAAAATCAATAAAAATGTACTGAAGTAAGTTCCAGTCAAGAAAGCAAAATTCTCATTTCTTTTCATCTTTAGAAAATAACTTTGGCCATGAATTACAGTAAAATAACATCATCAGCAACTTTGCCTTACAACATCAGTTATTTTACACATAAATTTATTATAGGTTGCATCTGCAATAGAATGCAAATGTTAAAAATGTTTTACTTTAAATTCATCAAAAAAAAAAAAAAAAAAAAAAAAAAAAAAAGTACGCTATCACCTTAAACAAAATATCAAAATTTTTAGACCTTTCAAATTTGAAGTATTTTCCAGTATCTGAAACAAAAATTTTCCTAGCAACTGAATTTAGGCAACATAAAATACATAGATGATGTTTGGGTTGCATAAGATATTAAAAAATTTCAAACTGGAAATGTCTAAGAACTAAAAACCCAGATATTTTGACATGAAATTTCCTTTTTGCACTATTTGGTGTTTTAAGTTTAAATTGCCATTGTACCGATTCTAGTAAGATTTTTACTGATATATTGATAAATGGGCCATTGCACTGATTTCCGTACAATGGCCCATTTATCAGTCACAATATACTTACTTACCAACGTATCATTCATCAAGAAGTGCTCTGTGTGCAGACATTTCCAGAAGAAATTTGCAAAGTTATGGAACTTGTCATTAAGATTATAGACTCCATTATAGCTAAAGCTCCTCATCATCGCCAGTTTGAAAATTTTTTAGTTGAAAGGGAGAGTGAGTAAGCAGATCTTCTGCTGCATAACAAAGTATGTTGATTATCAAGTTTCTAAATGTTTTGTGTTCTTATTAACAGAAGTTAAAGCATTTCTCCTTCAAAACAGTGTTTATTATCTTGGGAACTTTGAAATCTAATTGCTGGATTTAAAAAACAAAGAATTATGGAATTTGAAATTTGAAGGTCTTAGTACTGATATTGAAATACTGGGGAAAAAACAAATGTGAGCTTAGTTCACAGCACAAGTGGTTTCCTTTGAAAGTCCTGGAGAAAGAAGATATGTGGTAGACACATGGAAGAGTATTCCCAACTTGTATAATCAGCTGAAAAAAACTAGCATTTGCTGTTATTTCCTTTTTCAGGTCTGCATTTTTATGCAAACAATTATTTTCAAGCATGAACCTTATCAAGAATAAATTGAAAAGTCATCTAATTGATGAGAACATGGAATCATATTTAAAATTAAAAACAAAAACATAAAAACCTGAGTTGCACTTTCCAATGAGATGCAAGGCCACTGTCCAAATCACTGTTTGTTCGTCATTATTCTACATACCTACATAGTTTAACTAAGACTTAAAAACTGAAGTATTAAATTAACTAATCATAGGAATTGTTGGAGTGAAAAAAGATGTAGTGTTGAGAATTGAGAAAGATATGTTAAGATTGTTTGGACATACAAAGAAGATGAAGGAAAGAAGATACATGAAATGAGTATACAAAACAAGTGTGAATGGGAGAGTTGGAAGAGGGTTATCTCAGAGAATGTACGTTGATCAGATCAAAGACTTTCTTAGTAAAAGCCAGCAGAAAAGTACCCTAATTAAGTGAATAACAATACACTCAACTATATAATTTAAGTTTAAAAAATATTGGTCAAAAATAAAAAGTTAAAAAGCTTCCATTAGAAAAATTTTCGGTACTATTCGGTTTCGAGGGCCGTAAAAAATTGCAGCCAAAATGTATGTGCGAAAGCGCCAAATTTAGCAAACATGCCCATTTAACAGCGTGCCAAATCTTGCGTACACACTGATTTCACATTGCGTAAGTTTATATAGTTCTATATTTCTTAAGACACCATTGAAATACTAGTTTAATTTTTAATTCCTTTTTTGATATCCTATGGATTTAACAATTTGGGAATTGCCTATGTTGAAAAGTCTGTGATAGAATTTTGGATAAAGTGCAGAATCACCCACTGCTTGACATGGTTTTAAGAAGTGCACATACTCGGTATCCATGTGCACATCGACCTATTTTCATTTAAAAAAAAAAAAAAATCCTAGAACTGCACAAAAATGGCACTGCGCACACCCTTGACTTCTATCTATGTACACATTGACCTATTGTCACTTAAAAAGTAAAAGAAAATTGACACAATTCCAATTGTTTTACTCTTGTAAAAAGCGGCAAAGAAATAAGAGGGCGATTCAGCACTTTACTGAAAATGTTTTCAAAGAAAAGGCATCTTTCATTATAGAAAATTATGTTTGAACAACCAACGAGATGGATGACATTATGCTTTAGCGATAACTCGGTAGCGAAATATTATATGAAATTAACCTTTAATCTAAATTAAAACATCAATATTTAGATAGTTATTTACTATTATACTTCCTTTCTTGTGTTAGGGTTGCCACAATTACTTTTGGCAACACTGGCATCAACAATAGTTTGGCGATTTTTTATGGCCCTCGAAACTGAATAGTACCAAATTTTCCTAGTAATCATTTTAATGTTTAAATGTTTAGAACAGTCTGTTCCCACAAATTACTTTATACAGATTTAAATCCATCTTAAGGTGTTTTCTTTTATTTAAAAAATCTATTCATTGAACAACTTTGCAGAGTTCTACTTAACATAAATCTAATTTTTGCCATTTCTTGAAAAACAGTGGCCAACAAAACAGACACAAAAGTAATTACTCAAAAAGAATCGCTCCCCATAAAAAACAAAAAAATGCCCAAAGATGTAAGTACACAAGCTGACAAGTTGATTAACAGACTGCCACAAAGCACATATGGGCTATCTGCATCAAAAGATCATCTTCATGAAAGATTTCTGAAGAAACATTGGCCTCTGTTTATGTTCATATACTGGGAAAATCATGATAAGCTCAATAAACTAGCCTATTTTCTAGAAATTTAATACAAAATGAATTACCATATTTTAGAACTATTTGTTTATAGAAAAGCAATTTTCTATTTTCAGTTCCATAATAACCATAATTAAATTATTCACTCAGCTATGAATGGACTTTCTAAACTGACATCCACAGCCTTGAATTCATGGAAAGCAACAATAACCAAGAGATAAATTTTCTCCTTTGTTTAAAAAAAGGAGGGATCTCTTCTTTTAATAAGGAGCAAAAAAAAAAAAAAAAAAAAAAAAAAAAAAAAAAAAAAAAGCAGTTGCTTTATACTTTAAGCAAAGAAACATAATTCTTAATGAATACACATTTTGGTGACCTAACATTTAGAACACACTTGGCAAAAGCAACCTTTAAAAAATATAATTTGAGATTAGAATTTTTATAACACAAATTTTCATTTGAAATTATTGACACTTTTCTGTTACAGCCATAACACACATTTTCAGAACCACATTCATGCATTTTTGCTCATATTTTTCTTTATGCCTTTGGCTCAATGAAACAGAAAGACAGATGACGGCCTTTGGCTCAATGTAACAGCAACAACGAAGATTCTGTAATTTCACAATAAAATCCTTCAAAAAACCACTGTGGGACAAGAACATCAACTTTACTTTCCCCTTTTTTATGAATAAATTTTCATTATATCATGTCCACTAATTTTAATGGCAGGATGAGATAACAAGAAACTGACACATACTTCTCTTTGCATTTACTCCAATCAACTGTTGTTTTGTGATTCATTTAAAGCAAGCTTTGATTCATAAAACTCAGACATTAACTCCTAACTAATTAAAATCTTTAGGAAATGAAATGAACACCAGTGGCAAAAGGAGTGTGTGATTTAACAAACCAACTTATGCTCAGACACCTTTTTCTTCCTCGAATACCATATCATGTATTAATGAACATGATATGGTCAGCTGAATATGGAAAACAAAACAGTAATAGCTTGGAACTATCCACAAAAAGTTTGTCCTTAAAGCGTTCTAAACACTGCTTCCAGTAAAATCGGAAGGCCTAATAAAATAGAAATTGACAAAAGTCTTTTTATGAAGTGCAAAAATGAAGCAGCTAGAATAGCGATTGTTTATTTATTAAAGATGTGTTAGTACTTTCAGGATTTCACAGAAATGATTGCCAAAAATTTGGTGGGATCTCCACAACTTTCAACGCATGTTAGTAACCAACTTTCACGGTCGACAAGATATGAAAGTGCCAAAATATGGTTTCATGAGCAACAGGTTTAAAGATAGTTATTGCTAGGAAATGCTAAACCAAACTGCCTATATCTGTCACTGAGAAAGTACATCAAAACCAAAAAAACACTTGGCATTTATGAGAAAAATTATTAAATTATTTAGATAAAATGCAAAATTAAACTCAAATTTTAAATATATTTTTCAGTTTTAAGATTGCAGAAAAATGCTGCAGAGAATTACAGAAGAGTTTTTTAATATTCACAACACACTGGATTAGCAATAAGATCTCATAGAAGTTATATCACTATCTTAATTGCTATCTCTATTTTAAATTTTACTTTATTATAATGAATTGTTTATAGAAAAGTAATTTTCTATTTTCAGTTCCATAATAACCATAATTAAATATCAATACAAGAGAAGTTACACAATTCTGATGATATATTTTGATAACAACTTTGTTTCCTCACCTCTCTGAAGATATTTTATAGCCTCGTCAAAACTTTCCAATTCTAATAAAGCTTGACCATAGAAAAAATGACCTTTGATTGACGAACTATCAAGCTCTAAAGCTCTCCTACAGTCTTGACATGCAAGTTCCCACTGATGTAATTTCAAATAACATAAGGCTCTGTTGGTGAAATAAGTAGGAATTTGAGGATTTAGAATCTATAAAAGGGAAAAAATGATAAATAAAAATATGGGAAAATCATCCTAAAAAAATTAGAACCATTTTAATAAAATTATTAATTATATGACAGCCATTTCAGTATGCATTCATATTAAAAACTTTCACAAAATTCCTTCTGATGCATTTTACTAAAAGCTTTTAAACTAAAAGATGGTTAGTACCTTCTTTTATTACTCCAGCAAGATAAATTTAACATAAAAAACCAAGATACAACCTCATTAATAGAAAGTAACCAACTATAGTATGAAACTTTTATCCAGCTAAGAGTGCACATACAGAAAAACAGTTCGCACTGACATAATATCATCCTACGTGTTTTATATTTTTGGCACCAGAGGTGCAGTCTCAAAGCTCACTTTTTGTCAGTATCACTTTTGTGTCCGAATTACTTTTCAAACAGGCCTGATCATGATGCATTATTTTTTGAAAAAATTAAATAATGAAAAATCTGTATATATGTTCCTTGCATTGTGAAAAAACAACACCTACAGCCATCGAATTTTTAATACATGTGATCCTTCACCCAAAAATGGGCATATGAAAGACCAAATTTTGAATCTGTTTTAGATTAATTTCATATTTTGTACAAATATAATGAATTTTTGTTTCACAAACTCAAGATTGAAAAGTGAGAAATGACAACACTGTTTGAAATAAAACCCTTCTACATCCAGCAAGCCAGATTGCTGCCATTCAACAAAATGTTAGATACTTACCTTTTAATTTTAACCCACAAATTCGGTTATTTGAAAGCAATGTACTGTCACTGCCTCAAACAGAATACTTATTTTATATCCATGTAACAACATGCTGCCAGTCACTAAAGCGTTAAAATGTTTAAATTTAACCTTTCTGTTTACAAGTTGCAAAACAAGTGACTTAAAACATAATTCTTAAAAATACTTTTCTACTTTTTAATCTGATTGATTTAAATAAAAATGCATTTAAATCATGCAATTTCTAATTAAAACTATTAAATAATTTTATGAAATTATACTAGCTGGACTCATTACTTACTTTTTCTTTTTTATGACAACTCTTTTAGGTAGCTGTCTGTTCTATCAACTAGTTTTCAAAGAAATAATACTGTGACTATTTAAAAAAATGTATGGCAACCTCTAAGACTTTATCTGCAGTTTTACTCTTGAATTCAATCTGGTGTAAAAACAAAGAAAATAGTGCTTAATAACAAAGCTAAAAAGACAAAAAAAAAAAAAAAAAATGTTAGCTGGAATCAGTCCACCAGAGGATTGCTAACCTGTTCAGAGAGAGCACCAAAATCTTTGAAAAATATTCTGGTGCAACATTAAAATCTGAATCCTTTCAGATTTTCTGTCTGTCTTTTCTTTCTGGTTGCATCCTAGCACACCCTACACCCTTGGCGCGCCCACTTATATGGCGCGTGTGTGCAATGCAACGTTTGTGCAATTCTGGGATTCTTTTTAAAGTGAAAATAGGTCAATGTGTACATAGATACCGAGTTTGTGCAATTTTTTGACTTGTTATTTTCAAGTTGCCGATTTTGAGAAATGCACAAAGCAGTGGGTGATTCTGTACTTTCCCAGTTTGTCGTCAAGGGTGTGGGCTCTTCTAGGATTTTACCTTCTTTCCTTCCCCCCTTTTTATGAAGGGGGTCATGTATCTTATTTTGCAAGAAATAAAAAATTTCACTTTTTTAAACTGCATAATCTTAGTTAAATAAAACCCAATCAATGCAAAAATTTAATTCTTTAATCATATCCCAGTAAATGTGCATGCAACCTACAGACAACACAACTGTCTGGATTTATTTAATATTCAGATAAGTCGTTATCCTAATTAATGCCAACACTCAAAATTCTACTACATATCTACATTATTTAACAAATAAAACATAACTGAATAAAATAAGGTTAGAGATAAATTGCAGTAGCCTTAAACACCCTCTCACACAGATCATAATCACACTATTTGCATTTTCCTGTTTCATTCAATTCTTATATAAAATCTTAACTTTTCTGATTTGAGTGTTTTAAGACTTACAATTCCAGTTAATTTTAAGATACCATTAGAACCACATTCAAACTTCCACTTACTAAATAACTTTATCAGAAAAAAATTTCGGTACTCTTCTGTTATTGAGACGAGATTCAGAAATGTATGTATGCATACAAGTATGGATGGATGTGTATGCATGTATATATGTACGTACTCTGCTAAAAAAAAGCGGGGGACAATTCCATACCTCCCGTTCTACTGGGCCGATTGACAAAATTCAAATTGTGTTTTTCATGTCTCGAAAGCGCGACTTAGGATATATATTAGATTTTTATATAGCACTATTCTAACATAGGTATTTTGACACAAAATCAGACTTTGTCTGAAATAACATACCAATTTTTTACATATTCTGATTCTACGGCTCAAATTATTCCAGAATGCCAAGTTTTGTAAAAATCGTACGAGTAGTTTTTAAAATATTAGCTTTCAAAATTTTAGCTCCTCAATGTTAATTAAATTTGGCAAATATTTATTAATATCTCCTTTTATATTAAACTTTTTTTGATTTTTTCTTTCCCATTTCGAAATTTAGGTTCATTCCAAATAAAATTTACCCATTTTTTGTGTTTTATTTTTTAAATTTCTATTTTTAAATAATTTTTATAATTTTTTCGAAAAAAATTTTGAATTATAACCTATAAAATTTTTACCATCATCTTAAAGTAGGTGCATTTCTAAGCATACCTGCAAAAAATTAGACTTTTTTATTCAAAATTTTCTAAGATATACACAAATTTACATATTTTCGCGTTTTGAAATTTGGCATCTTTTTTTTTTTTTTTTTTTTTTTTTTTGAGCGATAATAACGCCAAATGTGGTTTATGGATTTTTGTTACAGTGAATTACCACAGCTATTTTTAACCTTAAATTTCAAATAAATTTTTACAGAGAATTAATTATATGAAAAGTTATTTTTTTAAATTATAGATGATACTATTCAAATTTTTAATTTTTTTAAAATTTTTCTCTTTTTAAAAAAATAGTCGTAAGAGTAAATTTTTAGCTTCGGCGTTTTATCGTCTGCTACTTTACTTTCACTTCGTTTAAATCGAATTGTCTAAAACTGAGAACTTCCGTTTGATGTTTATGTGAATTTTACGAAAATATTTTAGACATTAACTGCATAATTTATTTCTAAACAAGCTGTTGCTTATGAAGTGGCTGAAAGAGTGGCTGATACTATCATCCATATTTTTAAAGCACAGTATATTTTTTTAGAAATATAAGATTTAGAATAATCATTTTTATAAAAGTCAAATTATGATACAAACATACAACCCTCTAGAGAACGAATTAATCGAAGTTCAATGGTTATGTAGAAATGATCTGCAGCTACTTAATGGCTGGATAAGTCAGCATGTTCTGTGGACAAGTAAGAATAATTATATAAACGACACCCAAATTCTGGATTCAATTAATCAGGGTACAATGCTTATTAAATGAATTTAATAAGTTTTAAACATAAAAAATAAACTCATTTTTTATCCTAAAATTTATTTTTATGCATAGCGTATTTTCATTTTATCCTTAAACTTCTAATTTAGAATGTAATTGTCAAGAACTGAATTCTAATCATCAGTAATATAATAAGCAATTATTACGGTTATTAATAAAACCTTCTTATAAAGTAATTGCAAATATTTCAAAAAACTTTCTGTCTGAATTCAAATATTTCTAATTTTATATTAATCAGGATTGCACACAATATTATTAATTTGCACTTCAATTCTTACCGTCAGCTCTAGTATAAGTTACAAATCAATTATACTTAATTAAGGAATGACCATCTAGGTTTAGAAACAGCGTACCGTAACAGCAATTCAATTATTGGTGCCGTATCTTTCATGTTACTCCCGATCGGCAAGCCACATGATTTTTAACGAGTATTCGGGTTTTCCTAGTAACTTCACTTGGAAATCGCGCTTAAACTAGTATAGTTGGTTATTTAAACATAGAAAGAACACGGAAGCTATTTGGTTAAGATGCTTTCATAGAGAGCCTTTGTAAAGAGAACCTAGAAAACTACGAAAACCAACCATGCAGCCTGGGTTAGACTTCGCAACAAACAATTAGTATTTAACAATCTTTAAATGCTAGGCAACTGGTGAGGCTCCAATTTAATATTTTATTTGCAAATATTTAAAAATATTGTTGTATTCTTAGATACAAAAACAGAATTTAAGTTTTGTTAACTTGTTAGTATACTACCAAGCCATAGTGCAAATGAATATTCACTTCCTTTTGCAATAATTGTATTCACTTAATATTCTTGGAATATGAGCTAAAGAAGGAATGTTCTCAGAAGATTAAAGAAGTGTTTATATCCAGTGATATTAGGTTTGTCTTACAAGCTCAGAATCAAAACGATTCTGAAATTGCCCGAGTAGACGACTTGTAAATGGCTGTGAATTAAGCAGATGACTTTTAATCTTACGTTATTCAGTCAGAAAACGTATTCCAAATGTTTTGTATTGCATGGCAATGCATCTTTTCATTATTCAATAACCAATTGGAGAACCGATTGTATTCCAAAAATACGTATGTGTACTCAATCGTCCTGCATGTTCTTCAAATTTGTCTTCTTGCGATTTTTTTTCTTTCCCAAAAACTAAAGTTGCCTCTCAAGGAAATGTTTTTTGACATTGAAGAGACAAAAAGAGTATGACATTTACTTTTAGAGGTATGTCAAAAACAGATCTCTACAAGCCTTCTCTTCCATCACATGCTGTGCACTGAGACAAAAAGTTAGATCAGCGAAAATTCTATAATCTATTTTTATTACACTCTGATTACTTTATTAACATACAGTGAATATATACTAAACCTTTTACTTCAGCTTCAGTAATTCGGAATTTTTGACGAAATTGTTGTCAGAACTAGGACCTAGAAGATAAGTCAAATTGAATATTTCGGATAATCCAATAAATTCAAGGTTGATGTTTCAATATTTTATTTTCGCAGAGAGGAAAACATTTTCAGTTTTGGTTCATTATCCTAAGTGTATTTGCTTCGATTCTTTACTTTTTCCATAAAAGTGAAAATCTTACACATGGTATGCAATAACGCATAGCTTCAAATTAAAATTTAATAATATACAAAGTGCTTATAATTAAAGTTCCACTTTGAAACGGTCATAAAAGGAAAACTACTCGATCAAATGTTATGAAACTTGGTAAACGTGTAAAGGAAGTCACGGGAATTTATTTTCCGCGAAAAAAAGAAAGTTCGAAAGCACACCACCAGGGGAGAAATGGTGCTGTATGCAATATTGTTAAACGAAATATGAATTGGGATCTAACTTAACCTTTTGTTACACGGGTTTAATATGTTGTATACCCTTAAGAAACTTTGAAGTAAGCAAATTACCATTTAAAGGTGTTAAATTTGATAAAAGTCGAGTGTGCCATCTGTGTAAGGGAGAAATTCGTCCGTAAAAACCACGAATTAGGGATTAGAAAACTGATCGCTAATTTGTAATTTTTGAAGCCTGAATTCAGCCCTAAAACATGAAGATACTGATTCAAAACGCTTTTAATTGATTTGGGCCAAAGAAATCCCTCATGTTATTTACCTAGTTCCATTGCATTCTCCTACTGCATTCGATTGCATAGCAGTCATTCCACACTGTTTGGTGTAGAATGACAGCTAGTTTCGTAACTGAACCATTTTTCTATAAATAGCAGTTAACAGCTGGACCACTGTGATTGCAGCTCGCTTAGAGTCAATGTTAAAATGTTTTGTGATACATGAACTGCAGTAACGTGGCATTTTAGATAGTATGATTTCTATGCATGGCTGGGCTCCACCTCGGATGTGTCGCACAGTTACTTAGGCAACATTTCACGAATAAATGCCTTATAGGCCGACACTCCCCCCTCTTTCCACCAGAAACAGTTTCATGTCTCATTTCATTTAACAATATTGTATACAGTGCCATTTTCTCCCTGGTGCTGAGTTTTTGAACTCTTTTTTTTGTTCTCCCCCCCCCTGCGGAAAATAAATTCCCATAACCTTCTTTACACAATTCCCAAGTGGATAACATTTGGTCTGGCAGTTTTCCTTTTATGACCATTTCAAAGTGGAACTTTAATTATAACCACCATGTAAATTAAACTTTAAAAGTTTGACAGTTTGATTCAAGTCCCAGCTTTAAAAAAGTATATATATAAATAAAATTTTTATATTAATCCTCTTAGAAAGAATGTTTTAAGAAGCTAATTTTTCTCTCGCATTATAGATTGTATAAAAAAAACATGATCTTTAATATGATTTAGATTGTTTTGCAGCCGATATAAGCAATCGGGTCACTCGGTGGTACAGAATAAACCTGCTGGACTGTTTTATTTCTTTGTCATTTAGCAAAAAATCTTTTAATTAAAATATTTATCCTTTGGACTTTGCTTATAACTTTATTTATAGTTAAAATGTCTAGAAAATGAAAAGCTGTCTTCAGCTGAAACGCAATTGATGCAATTGATATTTTAAAAAAATTGACAAGAATGCAAAATTTATGGAAGTCTAGCAATCGAAAAATCTTAATTTTCTTGTGTGAGCACTGAAAATAACTGTAAAGGAAAGAAGAAAATTAGGGAGAAAAGTAAGCAAAAATTTGAAGGGAAATTTGGCTGTCAGACATACCAAGATGTTTAAAAAAGTTGGACGCTTTTGAATATACTTTCAGGATACTTCAAAGAATTTAGGTGTTCAAAGAGAAAACACTTGGACGTGTACACCAGCAAATATCATCAATTCAGCTTGTGTTAACAGAAAAGACAAAAAACGATATCATTGCAGATTAAAGTGAAGAGCGACTGGTTTTAGACTATATGGTTTACTTTTAGACTGGTAGTTCGGTCCGAAGTTCGAATCTCGCGAACAAGCTGGCTGCATGGGCGTTTTGGTGGTTTTCCCCCATGTGTAACGTGTATACGAGCCAGTTTCCCTTAGAAAGTCCTCCACGAAGGCATCCCTCCCCTTAGGCAGATAGCCCTAGTGTGCTTTGCCATAATTAAATAAACCAAAACCTCTTGATGAAACCAGGCTTTCTTTTCATCTCATACCTTCAAAATGCTAACCTCTAAAGATTGATAAAGGCTCTGACTTAAATACTAATTAAATGGATTGAATTAGATTATTAAGTTACAGCAAAGCATGGCTATCTGCCTAAAAGGAAGGATGCCTTCGTGAAGAAATTTCTAAGGGAAACCAGCTGCTATACACATTACACATGAAAAAATCCATGAAAACATCCATGCAACCAGCCCGTTTACCGGGATTCGTACCCCGGAATAAACTACCAGTGTTCAGCGAGTTTACCACTTGACCGTTTGTGGGCCTTTAGGAAATGGAAGGCGATAACTTTACTTAAAATGATTGTCAGAAATACCAAGATGTTTTTAAAAGTTGGATGCTTTTTAATATACTTGCAGAATGCCTGAAGAAAAAGAGCAATAATACAGCAGAATGTCTGAAAGAAAAAACTGTTTAAAGCAGTGTATGCAAGTCATCCTAAGTTAAAATGTCGGTTATACATCTCTCTTATTTATATATCTTTTTCTGAACGGAACATTGAAAGGCGTGTTAACTGTGCTTTACTGTATTTTCTCTTTTAATATATATGCAGTTTTCAAATGCATCGTAGTCTGGGTTACAAAGTATTCTTCCAAAAAAAAAGAAATTCAAATAAATAAAATCAAATTCTGGAAAATTTATATTAATAAATATGGTACAACTCTGATATACGCCCTAATTTCACCAAATGTAGCGATATATGTTCTGTGCTGTTTTTTGGCGAGATTGCATGTTGTATGGCAACTCTATTGACATTGAAAAATGTTTCGCTGGAGCTCGTTGGTTCACATCATGCTCTGTGTCTGAGAAGATAGGGGGGGAAAGATAAATTGGTGGAAGTTGTTGAATTGAAGTTCGGCAAAAGGAAATATCATCGTGGCCATCCTGTTGAGGGGCAGAGGGTATTTGGAGGTGTGGAAAGAGGTTCTGAGAGATTATTTTTAGTGGCTATGCATGATAGAAGTAGGGATTTGTGATTACTTGTGATTTTATTTATTTGTGAACCATAGTATGAATTTTCCGGATAGCATGTCTGGCTGTCATATAAATACGATAGTGATTATGTGGCGGCATGTTAAAGGCGGTATGAAATTGGTATTTCTGCTGTTTGAAAAAGCATTAATTCATGGTAAGTGCATTTTATTTTATTTTTGTTCTCATTTTGTAGAATGTTATGTTCATTGTTTTTTTTTAATATGAATTTCTGTCATTATTGTTGTTTTTTTGAATTGTTTGAAATTTATTTTAGTTGATTTTGTTGATTAGCGCATAGCGTCTACATTGTGCAATTCGTAGATGTTTTTTAAAATTGAAACAGAACGTTGTGTATATGGCATTCTTTGAAATTTATTGTTGTTATGTTAATTTATTAAAGCGAGGTGTGCGCAGTTCGTAGATTCGTTTGTTGCCTAGACTGTGCCATTCGTAGATGTTTTTTTAAGTTTAAACAGGCTCCTGTATACATGGTATGCTTTGAAATTTATTGTTGTTATGTTATTTTATTAAAGCAAGGTGTTCGTAAATTCGTTCGTTGCCTAGATTGGACCATTCATAGATGTTTTTTTAAGTTTAAACATATCGCTGCGTACATGGATTCTTGTCAAATATTTTTGGTTCGAAACTTTTAAGTTTTTGCTATCTAAATTTTTTGTTTTTGTTTCGGATTTTTAGCTTAAATTGTGTGTTCAAAACGTGGTTTTTGCATGTGCGAAAACCGCATGTTTGGAGCCATTTTAGGCTTTAAGTTCAAAATGTAGACAAAACATTTAGATAGTAATATGGCAGCATGGAGTTTCTCGCCAAAAATGTTTAGTGAGAAATTTGGCAACTTGAGGGCGTATATCAGAGTAGTTCCATAAATATATTTAAAATGCTCAGTTTGAATGAATAAATAGAAAATTTTAAAATAATTATCTGAAGAGACAATGCAACACTAACAATTAAAATAAAAGTCTAAAAATTTAAAATTACCTAAAATAGTAACTATTTCTAAAAATATATATAAAGAAAACTATTGGAAAAAATTTTAATTGATTTAAACACGCAGTTTGAATGAGTAAATAGAAATTTTAAACATTATTCAAAAGAAACTATGCAATAAACAATTAAAAAAAATTAAAAAAAAATATTTAAATTAATAGCAATTATAATTAAAACATAATATAAAGACATTAGCTGAAAGAAAGATTGAGTTTTTTTCCTCTCACGCACTATGGTAAAAAAATGAAAATAGGTTGCCCATATTAGAAGTTCGCCAGTGAACTATTTTGGTGCAAAGTGAATAAAAAGCAGCAACATAAAATTTTGAATTTCTCCGTAAATTTTGACCAATTTTACAAAATTTAACATTTAGGCATAATTTGAGTAGAATCGTAATATGTAAAAAATTGGTATGTTATTTCAGAAAATCCAATTTTGTGTCAAATACCAAGTTTGAATAGTGCTATCTATAAATCTAACATATATCCAAGTCACCTTTCGAGACTGAAACGCAATGAAATTTGAACGCAAAGTAGAATGGGAGATATAGTCCCATTTTTTTTTTTTTTTCTTTTTTTTTAGCAGTGTACATATATAACATAAGCTCAAGTTAATCAGTGCGCCTCCGTGCTGTCAGGTCTTGTAGGGTTCATCTGCTCATCCGCAGAAAAGCTTCTGGGGCTTTTAGCGGGGCGCGGATTTTGCTGTTGCGGCGCTTGTCCGTTGTGTGGACTGGATTTTGATTTCCAAACATGTCGGGTTTGAACATGGAAATAGAGGACATTGAGGCTGACATTGTATTATTCCAATACATGATCACTAGCATTGATGAAAAGATTAGTGAAAACAAGGCTTCGGAAACTGATTTAGTTATGCGCGCGAATTTAGAAACACGCATTCTAAAGAAACAAAAATATATTGAACTGTTCACTGATGAGGGTAATTCGGCCACGATAAACATATCCGAGAGCACGTCTGCTGGGGAACATGGTATTTGTCCCCGCACATAGAATAAAAG